GCTCCTTGGCCTACACCTGATATTTCATATGTTTTCTGTATTTTGTATGTTTTTAAATTCATTCTTTTGACAGCGCTCTCAGTTATCAAATTAATTTGTGCTCCTGTATCTAATAGTATATGTATTATTTGGTTGCTTTGTGCACATGTAGCTTTTGATGTTTCAAGAAAACAGCATTTTGGGCTGCTAAAACCCAAGCTTAATGATATTGATACCTTTTCTAGTCATGTACTTGATGCATTAGATGCACTAGATGACGAGTTCTGTGAATTCGCTTGTCCATTATTTTGTTGATTTTGATTATTTGAGGGAGTTCCTGAATTTGGGCAACAACAATGAACCGATGCACTAGCCTGTTGATTACTACCTTTTGAATTTTTGTTATTCATTTGATTTAATCTTCCTTGAAATTCATTGAATAACTGTTGTAGTGAGTCATTTGATTCATTATTTTCTTGTTTGATATTATTATTATTGTTATTATTATTATTATTATTATATCTGTTTTGATTTTGATTTCTTTTGTCATACGGTTGGTAACGGTTTCCTTGATTGTTGTAACCACCTCTTCCTCTGGAGTCGTTATATCTGTTATTTCTCCAATTATTCGTATTGTTATTATTGGCATTTCTACATAAGATTGTATGGTGCTTCAATCTACAGTTTTTGCATGTCCATTTGCTGATACAGTTATATGCCCTATGGCCTGCTTTTAGGCAGTTGTGACATAAGTTCTTTTGATTTGCGACTTCTTGTTTCTTTTGTAATGGTACCTGACAGTGAAAGAAAGGATGATTACCTTCACAAAATAGACATGCTTTCTTTTGATTTTCTTGTGTGATATTTGATTTTTCTTTCTGTGCATTATTTTTATTTTTGCTTTCTGTTTTTATTTTTTCTTCATTATCATCGCTTTCTACTTCTTGGATTTTTTCCAATTTTACTGATACTTCGGTAGTTTTTGGTATTTCTTTTTTAATGTGTATGGCAGGTTCACTTTTGATTTTAGGTATTTG